CTTGAAGATTTGGTACAATTTTTTATTTATCATAACTATTAAAGCCTCTCACTAAATTCATTTTTTTTCTCATGATCTCATAATTTTGCCGTAGTATTATTTTAGTGATGTTTTCAGAATTTTAAAACTTTTTTCGACAAAAAGATTTTCTTGAATATTTTAGGTTTTTTCAGATTTTGATCAAAAGAATTTGAGTGTGAAAGACTACTCGAACGTGGAATCCTGTCTTTAATCGTTAGCGTTGCCAAATTTGTTAGTCAAACACAGTATATCGTAAAATTAGTACTCAAGTTTATGATCTTTTTTTTTGAGTTTTTAAAATTTTATTTGACTGTATTTTTTATTTTTATCGAAGATTTTAGATTTTTAATTAAAAATATTTGAGTGTTAAAATTATATAGCTGTGAAGATTATCCAGACATGGGATTTTGTTATTGATCATGGTCTTTGATCGTTAGCGATGCCAAATTCGTTTTGTCAACATAATATAACGTAAATTTAATACTCAAACTTCATATTTGATTTTCAATGGATTTCAAATTATGTTTTCCCCATTGAATATAAAGTTATTATTTTTCACCAAATACTTTACATTTTTTGGATTTTAGTTAAAGAAACTTGAAACAGACTGTTATGATTTGGTAGATGTCGTTCGCAATCCAGAGGAATGACCGGCTTTCTCTAATCTCTCGGCAAGATTCTGGGAGATATACAGCCGTTTTCCTCACTTTTCAATTTTTTTAACTTTTCGTACTTTTAATTAATTTGAAGACGGATTGTTTGGCCCGTTCTAAATTTAAATTTTTTTTTTTTGTAAACAACTTTCCACCAAATTGGATTACCAATCACGGTGACATATTTTTATTAAATTTTGATTGACAAAAAAAAAATTAAAGAAACTTGAGTGTTAAAAAATTATATAGTTGAGAAAATTATTCGGACATAGAATCCTGTATTTGATCGTTAGCGGCGCCAAATTCGTTTTATCGACCTAATATAATGTTGATTTAATACTCAAGTTTATAATAATTTTGTTTTTCACTGAATTTTTCAAATAAATGTGTTTACACTA